ATTCAAGGCATTCAACACTTACAAATAGTTATCTTTTAGGTCGGCTCTATTACACAATATGTATTAAACAAGAATACTAGTGATAACAATAACGTTGTATAAACATAAACAATAAAGTTCAAATCTTGTAGCCCAAAAAAAGAAGATATTAATAACATCAACAGAAATAAATGACCATATGACATATAAAAATCTACAGCAATTATATGAAATAGAAAACAAAAATTGAGCCGTCTAAATGCACAGTGTCTTCTTAAGGAAATTATTCTTCTCTAATATCTGAGGTTTAAAGGAATTGATCATCTCAGTATAGAACGATTTATTCACCAATATATTAATATCAAAAAAATAAATTATGTCAATGAGTCACTCAATAGGAATAATATACACATATTATTGCCCTCTAGTATCCGAGGTTTAAATGAATGGATCCTCTCAGACTAGAACGATTTTTTTCACCAGTGAATTAATAGCAAAAAAACAAATAGTGTCAATGAGTCTCTCGGCAGGACTAAAGCACACGAATATTTAGAAGAAAAGGAAGAGGAAGGGGAAGAAGAAGAAGAAGAAAAAGAAGTATTTCAGAGATTTTGTTAGTGAAAAGTCTGAAGAATTTAGTGAAGTAACGAATGTTTAGAAGAAGAAGAGGAAGACGAAGACGAAGAGGAGAGGAAGAGGAAGAAGAACAAGAAGAAGAAGTAATAGTTCAGAGATTTTGTTAGTAAAAAGTCTATAGAATCATAAATATTTAAAGTCAAGAAAAACTGTTTTTATAACATTGAAACATTTATGAAACCACACAACTATTTTTTGAAAGCTTGCCACCTTCCAGCACCGTCATGTTTGTTCCTGAAAGTTATAAATTTTCAGGACATTCATTTCAAGCGGTGTGAAATTCAAATAAAATGGAAATGTGATTTATAACACGTGTCGCGCGAATCCGAGTTGGGTTGGATTGTTTCGGTAAATTATTTAAATAATTAAAATAGCTTAGGTAATCAGTTAATTAATCATAATTAAATAATAAAATAAATTATGTTAAAAAATAATCTCTCGGTCATTTTTCAAAACCGAAGCCTAGACGAGCGAGCGATGACTCAAAGAGGTCCTTCATTCCAACCCTTTAGCAATTAGTAGAAGTGTTTTCTTATTTAAACACTTGAGGTTTTCTTTCCACCACCTATAAGGGAGGATTGTTTTATACAAAAGCATAATTGATCACTTCATATTTTCTCATTTCATCTTTCCTTTATTTCTCATCAACTTTTAATATATACCTAACATAGTCACAGTGTAGAATTTCTTTTACTCTATCAATGTATGTAAGTAAACGTCAATGAAAATTTAGACTAGTAAAAAGGATCAAAAATATTTTTGAACTGCTCAAAATAATATTTACATCCATTACACTTTGGGGTAAAAAGGTACCCTCATCGTTAGAATTTTTTGCTTAAGGTACTCCTCAAACTATCTAAATAAGGCAAAATACCCTCCCCTTTCACGGTTGTTCAATAACAAAGAAAAATGATTGGTTTTTGATCTCGAACTATTTGTAATAAAATAAACCACCATTTAATGTTCGGACAAATGTTTGTTAATATCAATTGTGATTAATGTAACTATTGTAAATGATAATTTTTGTACAAGGCCTCTTCTAATATATTTGAAATTTATTTTGTGCACGACAATAATAATTGCATACATATTTTAGTATACTTTATACATAATAGAACTCATTCAATATATTATTACATAATATTTAAATATAATTGTTATAAAGAAGTAAATTTATAGAGTGCTTTGTTATAGTGCTAATTATTGTTATTATAGGTAGTAAAATGTTACAAAAGAAGTAAAATATAACATTAAAGTTAATTAAGGAGAATTTCAAGTTATTATAGTAAAATATGTTGCCTTTTCTATTTAAAAAGAATGACATATGATCTTAGACATATTTATCTAACAAAGTTGCCAATATTTGCCCATGTTGAGATTAAATTAAAGAATAATCTTGAGTCTATTAGCTTGATTTTTATTTACTCATGATGATTGCACACTAAAATACATGATTACTTGTTTTAGGAACTTCGACGAAATCAGAGACAATTGGAAGAAAGGAGAAGAAATTATGTGCGAGAATAATTGAAGTATGGAAACAACTAGGAGTGTCCTAGGCAAGAACCACAGAAGCCTCCCTCATGGTGTACTGATGGGCGCGAGGTGACACAGGCCTCACTACAGTTGCACATGCCAAGAGCATTGCGTGGTGCAACGCACCACAGGTGAAACCATAGAATCTTGGCCTGGCGGGTTAGCTGGCTCGGCGCTCCAGCCATACTTTGACTTTTCTAGTGAAAATATATAAAAATAGGATTTCTTGTTGAATAATACTTTGACCCTATTTATCCCAACTCCTATAGATAAACCCCTAGGGATATTTTTTATGTGTGTTGGGGGGGACATTACATTGGTGTGGAGTAGCAAGTTCAACGTTTATAATAGCTTTTGATTTTCTATCTCTTCTTATTTCCAGAACTCACATGAACAATTATACTTTGTCGGTGGCTGAAAACCCTAGTTTTGGGTTGTAACTGTGGATTCATTGTTGAATATTGAAGTTTTTGATTAAATTTTTGGTTATCAATTAAGTTACTTCTTTATTCTCACTTTAGTATTTCTTGACTGACCATCTAGAGATAAATATTCTGTCTATTCTTAAAATTGAGAGAAGATAAGGTAGATATACCAAAGAATATAGAAAGCTCAATCTTCAATTGATTTGATGTGTGTTCAGGAGTGACACCCGGACGAACATCTTTCTTGGTTACAAACATGAAAAATTATAAATGCTAGATAGTTAGGCTTGCCATCTCCGATCAATGATTTAGTCTGACAACTTACTTGAGCAGGCGACTAGAGGCCGAGAGACCTGACTTATTCAATTAACCCCGTAAATTAGAAACTATATAACTTAATTAGTTCATTACTTGATATACGATTCATTGAGGCTGTTGTATGTTGCAGCCCTGGATTTGTCTTATACTTGCTTGAAACATCAAATTTTAAAGTCGAACACATTAGTTATTTTTAGTTATTGCAATAATTGTAGTAGTAATTAATAATCATAACACTCGTTTAAACTATTGATTTTGTTTAATTGTAGAATTCACTCCTAAATATAAGTCGATCACAAGTCCCTTGGGAATGAAAACTAGATTCTAAAAAAACTATATTACGTGAGCAACCTCTTACACATATATGTGCAATTGGGAGTAACATGTTATTGGCGTCGCTGTTAGAGACTTAGAAATTGATTTATATTTGATTTTCTTAAGTATACAATTATATTTAACTTGATCTTAACTCTTGTAAATTATAGGCACGTGATTTATAATTCTGGATCAGAAAAGAGAACTTGTCGAACCTAATGATGAAGCTTAAAAAGCTTTAAGACAATGAAGAAAGCTGCCAAACAAAGGACGTCAGCAAGAATTGAGTCCGGAGATCGCAAAAAATATGAAGGGTAACATAAATGATAACATGAACAACTAAGGCAACATTAACAACCAAGAACCAGAGATACCACCAATCATACCAACATGACTAGTCCATGACATGGCAGTACCACTAAAAGCTAATGTGGCATCTAGTATAAGAAAACCACCACCGGGTGGAAAAT